CATCATTAAGACCGGCCTTTCTCAACCCGGGTTAATATGATGGAACCCCTAAAAAAAGTTCCAGGTCTCAGGGAGACCTGGAATGGATATATCAATGGCTGCAGATACATTCGGGAAGTGGGAAGAATGCCCCTAAATTGGCGGATGGTGGGAACAATGCCCTTTACATTGGTGATCAGTGGAAGGAATGCCCCTTACATTTCTAGTCAATGGGAAAAATACTCTTTTCTTTGGTGGTTAGTGGGAAGAATGTCCCTTACATTGGGGATCAGTGGGAAGAATGTCCCTTACATTGGGGATCAGTGGGAAGAATGTCCCTTACATTGGTGGTCAGTGGGAAGGTCCCTTACATTGGTGGTCAGTGGGAAGAGATTGTCCCTTACATTGGTGGTCAGTGGGAGGAATGTCCCTTACATTGGTGGTCAGTGGGAAGATTGTCCCTTACATTGGTGGTCAGTGGGAGGAATGTCCCTTACATTGGGGGTCAGTGGGAAGAATGTCCCTTACATTGGTGGTTAGTGGGAAGAATGTCCCTTACATTGGGGGTCAGTGGGAAGAATGTTCCTTACATTGGTGGTCAGTGGGAAGAATGTCCCTTACATTGGGGTGGTCAGTGGGAAGAATGTCCCTTACATTAGTGGTCAGTGGGAAGAATGTCCCTTACATTAGTGGTCAGTGGGAAGAATGTCCCTTACATTGGTGATCAGTGGGAAGAATGTCCCTTACATTGGGGTCAGTGGGAAGAATGTCCCTTACATTGGTGATCAGTGGGAAGAATGTCCCTTACATTGGGGGTCAGTGGGAAGAATGTCCCTTACATTGGTGGTCAGTGGGAGGAATGTCCCTTACATTGGGGGGTCAGTGGGAAGGATGTCCCACTACATTGGTGGTCAGTGGGAAGAATGTCCCTTACATTGGTGGTCAGTGGGAAGAATGTCCCTTACATTGGTGATCAGTGGGAAGAATGTCCCTTACATTGGTGATCAGTGGGAAGAATGTCCCTTACATTGGTGGTCAGTGGGAAGAATGTCCCTTACATTGGTGGTCAGTGGGAAGAATGTCCCTTACATTGGGATCAGTGGGAAGAATGTCCCTTACATTGGGGGTCAGTGGGAAGAATGTCCCTTACATTGGTGATCAGTGGGAAGAATGTCCCTTACATTAGTGGTCAGTGGGAAGAATGTCCCTTACATTGGTGGTCAGTGGGAAGAATGTCCCTTACATTAGTGGTCAGTGGTAAGAATGTCCCTTACATTGGTGGATCAGTGGAAGAATGTTCCCTTACATTGGTGGTCAGTGGGAAGAATGTCCCTTACCTTGGGGATTGGAAAGAATGTTCCCTACAGTGGGGGTCAGTGGGAAGAATGTCCCTTACATTGGTGGTCATTGGAAGAATGTCCCTTACATTGGTGGTCAGTGGGAAGAATGCCCCTTACATTGTGGATCAGTGGGAAGAATGCTCCTTACATTGGTGGTCAGTGGGAAGAATGCCCCTTACATTGGGGGTCTGTGGGAAGAATGTCCCTTACATTGGGGGGTCAGTGGGAAGAATGTCACTTACTTTGGTGGTCAGTGGGAAGAATGCCCCTTACATTGGGGGTCTGTGGGAAGAATGTCCCTTACATTGGGGGTCAGTGGGAAGAATGTCACTTACTTTGGTGGTCAGTGGAAAGAATGCCCCTTACATTGATGGTCAATGGAAAGAATGCCCCTTACATTGATGGTCAGAGGGAGGAATCTACATTCATAGATCATTGGTATCAGTGGTTACATATCTGAGAACCAGAAATCGCTCAAGGAACCCCTAACAACCTTAGACGAACCCTTTAGTTCCATTGAACACGGGTTGAGAAAGGCTGGTCTAAGCTAGTCCTGTAGGTTTTAAAGCGCACCTGCAATTTAGCAATGAAGGAGGAGATTTGGAGAGACAGGCTCTGTACGTGGTTCATACAATCATCAAGGCTTTACCGTATTTTGGAATTTGTAACGTTGAAGGCCTACTCTGTGTGCCTCCATTTTTGTCCATTACCGTGGTAACACGATCTCTGGAACTGATCATGACTTCATAAAGGACATGATCCTGTAGGGTGCCGTGGGCGGTAATGCCAAAATATTTGGAAAAATAAGATGGCGCACCAAACTTTTTTTTATCTCGCCTAAGGCTACATTTGGGGTCCAATTATTTTAGTTGAATTTCCAGACGTGTCCCACGGCAGTTACGGATAAAAGCCCAAAAGAGCGTTTTTAATTTTCGGAGTTCAGCTGTAAAGTGAGTGCTTCCAAATCGTGTGGATTTTGGGTGGCCAATCAAATACGAGGGGTTCCAGCAACAAGATGCATTGGATACTTTTAGCCAACCACAAATATTATCCATTGGGTTAGGTTGGTGTCAAGGACATCTATTGCTTCTTCTCCACCACAGACCTAAAAATGGATCGCCAGATAATTGCAATGTGCAAATTTAAGGAAGGATTGGTTTCGGAAAATAGTAAATCAGTGGTCAGGTTCCCTCTACATTTGTGACCACCAGTCTATGGCCTTAGGAAGATAAGGTGTGGCATCCTCAGTGATTAAGAACATCACTGTGACACCAACTCTTCTACAACCTCCTTGAGGTGCAGAGATTTCACCATGTAGGTTTCAACAATCTTTCAAAATTTAGAGTTGCCCTTCTACCGCGGACGAGAGATGATCGAATATGAAAACGAAACTTTCCGGAGGGCATGTGCCTATCCATGACCATTTTGGAGGTCGCTCAACAACCTTTCAAAATTTAGAGTTGAAAGCTTGTTGTCCCTCTACCACGGACGAGAGATAATCGAATGTGAAACTAAACTTTCCGGTGGGCACGTGCCTATCGACGACCATTTTGGAAGCTACTCAACAATCTTTCAAAATTTAGAGTTGCCCTTCTACCGCGGACGAGAGATCATCCTTTCACTGCTTGGACATCATGGTGCAACGTCGATCAACTTGGGTGAAAAAAAGTCATGGCGGCCATTTACAAAAGACGAAGGCAGTTCTCCCGTTTGCTTTCGCTAGAGAGGAGACAACCGCCGGTGGTGGACACCCGAAGACGTGGCACATGTTGCGTCTAGCGAGCTTTGGTTCGACCCTCAACGTGGGTGCCCTCATGCCAAGGGAAGACCACAACAAAACCGTCTCCCCTTTGCCCTTCCACCGTGGACGAGAGATAATCGAACGTGAAACAAAACTTTCCAGCGGGCACGTGCCTATCCATGACCATTTTGGAGGTCGCTCAACAACCTTTCAAAATGTAGAGTTGCCCTTCTACAGCGGACGAGAGATAATCGAATGTGAAACTAAACTTTACAGCGGGCACGTGCCTATCTACGACCATTTTGGAGGCCACTCAACAATCTTTCAAAATTTAGAGTTGCCCTTCCACCGTGGACAAGAGATGATCGAATGTGAAACTAAACTTTCTGGTGGGCACGTGCCTATCCATGACCATTTTGGAGGTCGTTCAACAACCTTTCAAAATGTAGAGTTGCCCTTCTACCGCGGACGAGAGATCATCCTTTCACTGCTTGGACACCATGGTGCAACGTCGATCAACTTAGGTGAAAAAAAGTCATGGAGGCCTTTTTCAAAAGACGAAGGCAGTTCTCCCGTTTGCTTTCGCTTAGAGATAACCGCCGGTGGTGGACACCCGAAGACGTGGCACATGTTGCGTCTAGCGAGCTTTGGTTCTACCCTCATGCGAAGGGGAGACCACCACAAAACCGCCTCCCCTCTGAAATGGACGAACACGCGTTCGGGCATTCGAAAAAAAAAAAAAAAAAGGAGCAGGTGCTCAGATTTGATTGTTTGTAGCATGTAAATTTTTTTTTTTTGGCAGTAGGGGCTTAGAAAACGGCAGCTCAGAAGCTACAAAGAGAGCTACGGCATTTTTGTTCGGCAGCAACAAGCCTTGGCTGCAAATACACAGTGATTCCTAAAACGACCCCCCCAACCCCCCTCCCCCACCTTTATAATCGTTTGCCAGACCTTTGCGCTGGTAGATACTCTCTATATATCTATATTATAATATATATATATATTTGACTCTACTATTTGGTTGTTGTTGGTGCAAAAATACATAAAGAAGTGGCGTGTGCTCAAGTCTAACGCAGGTCGATCGTTAATTTGCCGCCACCCCACCCCCCCCCCCCTCCCAAAAAAGCCTTCGGGACACGTTTGGGTGCCCCTTTTTGCGTCGAAATTTGTCTGATACAGCAGTTTGTTGAGTATAAACGTAGCATTCATAGGCCAAGCACAGAATTTCAGGTGTGAAAGCACGAGGAGTTCCTGTTCTGTTTTTTTTTTTTTTTCGCAAGCCCCGATTTGTGGTCGACCACAATTGGATCCTTCCGTCTTCTTTTGCGGAACTCCTGCGGGGACGCACTTGGTCGTGACATGAACCACCTTCGATGTGCAGGCACTTGATTTATGGACGTCTGGAGGAAGAAGAACGGGTCGTGAATTTGGACCTTGCCATCGGTTGGATTAGCCCCTGTGGAAGTGTAGAAGAATGGAAAACGGGCAACGTCAGGAAGATTCCAGAACGTGTCGAAGTTGGGTTGATCACCCGTGGTAAGCATCGCAGGTGGACCTTGCCATCGGTAGAATAGCCCCCGTGGAAGAGCCCGGGGCAGTAGAAGAATGGAAAACGGGCAATGTCAGGAAGATCCCAGAACGTGTTGAAGTTGGGTTGATCACCCGTGGTAAGCATCGCAGGTCACTTGGCAGTCGATGAGTGGACACACCGTACCGTCCTCCCGACTTCTCGAAAAGGCGTTCTTCTCCTGGACCTCTAGCCCATCACAAGGGCAAGCTGCTTTCCTATGTTAAAGGCTATCCCGTGTTAGCTGAGGAATACGTGATGTTTTTTTTTCAGAAGCCAGCAGTCCCCGATCTTCTCCTAAATAATTCCTACTGAGGGCTCACGTACGTTTTGGGGTCTACCACCCCCAGGCCAGGTCTTTTCCTCTGCCCACTCAGCAGCTGCTGGAGCTAGTGTGTGGCGTCGGAAAAGACGCCGAACTGATCCCCATGGGGCTGTCAGAAAGAGGGGTCTGTGGCGTTCCCACTGCTACCCCCAGTCCCCGGGACTCCAGGACCACAGAGAGCAGATGCTGCTGCTGTTGTCTGAGGGCATCCACAATGAGGACGGGAAGAGTGTTGAAGGTGGAAGTGATCTGGTCCAGCTTGGTCTCCAGGCTGCCAATCTGCTTCTCCAAGTCCTCACTGCGGTCGTTCAGCTCCGTGATGAGGTCGTACATCACACTTTGCATCTGCAGAAAGTTTGGAACAAGAGACACGGTCAGTGATTGTTTATAGAGCCTACAAGGAACATAGCATTAGTAGAACCTAGGATAGAAAAAAGACTAGAATGGAATAGAACAGAAATAAAATAAAAAAAAAATAGAATAGAAAAAAAAATAGGAAATAAAAGAATAGAATTAAATAAAAAGCAATAGAACAGATTAGAATAGAAAAGCAAAATAAAGGTATATAATAGAAAAAAACAGAATAGAATAGAAAAAAAAAAAAACAGACTAGAAAAAAAACAGAAAAGAAAGGAATATAACAGAATACAAAAAAAAATAATAGAATAGAATAAAACAGACTATAGTAAAATAGAAAATAAAAGAATAGAAATGAATAGAAAAACAGAATAGAATAAAAAATAGAATAAAACATAATAAAATAGAATAGAAAATAAAAGAATTAGAATAGAAAAGAGTAAAATAGAAAAAATAGATTAGAATAGAACAGAACAAATATCCGAAATTCGAATTTTGAAATCATTGAACGAATAGGACAAAATTAAAAATGATTCATTTAACGAACAAATCTGAAACAAGACAAATTTTTTCTGCTGTGCGCTTCTCTAAGGCATTGTGTTCGTCAGGCAAATTAAAGGACGAATCTATTCATAAATGTTAGGAGGTCCTCCAGTACTGTGGGATGACGAGGTCTACACGACTGTGCTGTCAGGAAGTGGGCAGAATGACGCAAGTGTCCTTCTGCCCAAAGTCGTCTGCCAACGCTGGACTGAGGAGGAAGTCCGGGACGGCACCGGAACACGACGAGGGTAGGTAGAAACTGGAATTTTGTTCAACGCAGAAGAGGTGGGGGGGTGAAAAATAGAAAAAAAAAATGATCTATTATAAAATCTACAATTTAAAATGTACCATTTAAAAACAGTACAAGAAACATTGGATGGAGACAGTAGAACTGACGCCCGTAGAGAAGGTTTTGTTCTGCATTCAGAAATGCTGAAGTAACGGGTGACCTTCAGAGTGGACACCCGGCCCGAATGGACCAAAACAGGTTCCTTCACACTTACCTTTGACAGATCGACCAGAGTGTTGGCTTGGTCACTCAACTTTCTTTGTTCCATCTTCACACTCCGTAACCTGCAGAAGAAGAAAGTTTAGTTTCACTTGCTCTTGGCATACTTGTGGTCATTGGGAAGAATGTTCCTCACACTTGCGGTCAATGGGAAGAATGCTCCTCACACTTGCGGTCAATGGGAAGAATGCTCCTCACACTTGCGGTCAATGGGAAGAATGCTCCTCACACTTGCGGTCAATGGGAAGAATGCTCCTCACACTTGTGGTCAATGGGAAGAATGCTCCTCACACTTGCGGTCAATGGGAAGAATGCTCCTCACACTTGCGGTCAATGGGAAGAATGCTCCTCACACTTGTGGTCAATGGGAAGAATGCTCCTCACACTTGTGGTCTATGGGAAGAATGCTCCTCACACTTGTGGTCAGTGGGAAGAATGCTCCTCACACTTGTGATCTATGGGAAGATTGCTCCTCACACTTGTGGTCAATGGGAAGAATGCTCCTCACACTTGTGGTCAATCGGAAGAATGCTCCTCACACTTGCGGTCAATGGGAAGAATGCTCCTCACACTTGTGGTCAATAGGAAGAATGCTCCTCACACTTGTGGTCTATGGGAAGAATTACCCCCTTACAGATATATAAAAAGGTCAGTATGGGGTCACTGGAAACTCATCTGAGGGGCAGAAATTGCTCAAGGAACCCCTAGCAACCTTTGGAGAATCCCTGCCCATAGTGCTTTGGAAATCCTTTGTCATTTGTCTAATTTATCTGTAAAACAAACATTGCATTGGGAGGAGTCACATGGAAGCCAAGGAAGAGGTCGTCGGTGGTGGAGGATTCTACTCACTGATGGATGGCTTGCAGAAACTTCCTCTGGTGCTTGCGGACTTTGGCATGGTCGATCTTCTTTAGTAGTTTGGTGTGCTTGTAAATGAGCCATGTTTCTCGCAGGACATTGGCTGCCGCGTTCTTTATCTGCAAGTCGTGTTGAAAATGTTAGAATTTAGGCTTCTCCAGGTACCGGGCCTCATCTGCCCTCATCACATGACATCCTCAACATCATGTGTGCGCCTCCCACATTGTCTTTCCTCTCACTCCTCCCACATTGTCTTTCCTCTCACTCCTCCCACATTGTCTTTCCCCTCACTCCTCCCACATAGTCTTTCCTCTCACTCCTCCCACATTATCATTCATCCTACTCCTCCCACATCATCCTTCCTCTCACTCCTCCCACATCATCATCCTCTCACCTCCTCACTCCTCTCACCCACATCGTCTTTCCTCTCACTCTTCCCACATCATCCTTCTTTCACTCCCCCCACATTGTCTTTCCTCTCACTCCTACCATTCCTCTTACCCCTCCCACATCATCCTTCCTCTCACTCCTCCCACTTCATCCTTCCTCTTACTCCTCCCACATCGTCTTTCCTCTCATTCCTCCCACATCATCCTTTTTTCACTCCTCCCACTTCATCCTTCCTCTCACTCCTCCCACATTGTCTTTCCTCTCACTCCTCCCACATTGTCTTTCCTCTCTCACTCCTCCCACATTGTCTTTCCTCTCACTCCTACCATGCCACCATTCCTCTTACCCCTCCCACATCATCATTGATATCATGTTGTCATTCATCTAAAGCCCAGCTCCATCTCTCTGGCAGTGTAGTCAGGCAGAACATGAATTCGTTTGGTAATTCGTTTTTAGCCAAGGAAGCCATTTTTTCTACTCATACTGAGCAAAGTCACAGGTTTGCATTTCTCACTGGACCCATTAGAGCTCGTACTTCCCCACCCTGTTCTTCCCCGTCACACCAGTCCAGCCCCAACAAGAAACACCCAGTATTTGATGAACACATAGCACACTCCCTGCCTCCACAGTCAGAGTGACCAATGGCCAGTCCTGAATGCTGTCAAGGGTGGTGGGCATAACCCTTCCACCAGCTCAGCAAGCCAAATCCTACATGGGAATCTTGATAGGAGCATGGTGGAGCCAACTAAATTCTCAGTAAGGCTACCTTACCCAGTGCGGACAATGTACACGGTCCCTTGAACTCTGTAGTCCTGTTATGTACCTGCAGATTCCGAATTCACCTCTAAGACCCAAGTCATGATAACGGCCATGAGAGAAGTGTAGGTATAGCACCCATCTTCCCAAGCAATGAAGCCTAGAGCTCAGCCAATCCTCTCAGCGGAGGCCAAGAAGAGTCCCTTTTGTTACTCTATGACCTCAGCATCAAAGGCCAAAATGAAGTATAGCACTAAGGCCATCCCCCCAAAACCTGAACCTTCAAATCCCCCAAACCCTCAAATAAATATTGTTCAGCACTAAGGGGCACCACCACTTCTCAAAGTGGGGGAGGAGGACATTTGTTCAGGACTAAGGGGCACCACCACTTCTCAAAGTGGGGGAGGAGGACATTTGTTCAGGACTAAGGGGCACCACCACTTCTCAAAGTGGGGGAGGAGGACATTTGTTCAGCACTAAGGGGCACCACCACTTTCCAAAGTGGGAGGGGAGGGTTCATCAGTTCAGCAATAAGGGGCACCACCACTTTCCAGAGTGGGAGGAGAGGGTTCATCAGTTCAGCACTAAGAGACACCACCACTTTCCAAAGTGGGGGAGGGAATGGTTCATCAGTTCAGCACTAAGGGGCATCACCACTTTCCAAAGTATGGGTGCATCTGTTCAGCACTAAGGGGCACCACCACTTTCCAAAGTGGGAGGGGAAGGTTCATCAGTTCAGCACTAAAGGGCACCACCACTTTCCAAAGTGGGGGGCATCTGTTCAGCACTAATGGGCACCACCACTTTCCAAAGTGGGATGAAAGGGTTCTTCAGTTCAGCACTAAGGGGCACCACCACTTTCGAAAGTGGGAGGGCAAGGTTCGCCAGTTCAGCAGCACTAAGGGGCACCACCACTTTCCAAAGTGTGGGGGCATCTGTTCAGCACTAATGGGCACCACCACTTTCCAAAGTGAGGGAGGACATCTGTTAGCTTTTGTTCTCACTTGGGCAACCAGCATCTCAGATGCTTGGGTGCGAAAGGTGGTTTCCGTTATGTCCCTGCAGATTCATACTACATTGATTAGGTCCAAATCTGGATTACTGCCATGCGGGTATTGTAGGTGTGTCTGTGTAGTGTCATCTAAGGCAGAATCTCCATCATGTTCCCTTTCGGCAGTTAGAAAACACTCTATTTCGGATCATCCATCAGCCTTCCCGATTACGATCGCCTGACATTTCGGCAAAGCCTTCTCAAGAGTTCACTGACTGAGCTCGGGAGACTGTAATCAGACGATTGGAAACGGGTGCATTTCCACGCACCTTCCAACGTTGAGAAAAAAATGCCGCTTTTAATGGGGATGGGTCACACCAACATTCTGCGTGCATCAGGAAAAAAAAATCCTGAGCGCTGCATTATGGAGTATTGACTATTTGGCCATTAAAGTCAGCTAAATTGGAATCCTTCAAAAATGCAATTTACTGAAAAGAATGCAACCCACGTCAACAGTTCTGCTCTGGTTCTCTGGTGCGAAGGGACCCTAAATAGTCAATGAGTTAATCTATTGGAAGTTACCAAAGATAAATGAGAGTTCAGCTTTGGGCTTAAACATTTCCATACCACAACATACTCCTTGTCACACCATGTGCCAAAGGTTTGTGATCCCCTAACCATCACATCTGCATAGGTTTGTTGGGTGCCCCATTCCAAAACAAGAGTTGTCCCCCCCCCCCCCCCTTCGTGGCTATGGGGTTGAGATCAGAACTCTGTATAGGACAGTCAGGTTCCTCCACAGCAAACTGGTCAAGCTATGTCTTTATGGAGCTGGCTCTACTCTCCTGGGAAAACTCTCCAAAAGATTTTTGCAGGTGTCTAATGGAATTTGTGCCCACTTGTGAGGTCAGGTACTGATGTTGGATGAGAAGACCTGGCTCACTATTGGAATTCCAATACATACAGTTGCAAGAAAAAGTATGTGAACCCCTTGGGATTACGTGGAGTTTTGCATGAATTGGGCATAAAATGTGCTCTGAACGTCATCTAAGTCACAACAATAGAAGAACACAGTCTGCTGAACATAATACTACACAAACATTAGATGTTGCCATGGTTTAATTGCACATAACATGTAAACATTCACAGTGCAGGGAGGAAAAAGTATGTGAGGCCCTAGCTTAATGACTTCTCCCAGAGCTAATTGGAGCCAGGAGTGAGCCAACCTTGACTCCAATCAGTGTCATGATATTGGATGTGTTGCTGACAGCTGTCCTGCCCTTAAAAAACACGCACCTGTTTTGGGTTTACTGGTTTCAAGAAGCACTGTCTGATGTGAACCATGCCTCACAGAAAAGAGCTCTCAGAAGACCTGTAATGAAGAATTGTTGACTTGCGTGAAGCTGGAAAGGGTTACAAAAGTATCTCCTTGAGCCTTGATGTTCCTGTGTCCACGGTAAGACAGACTGTCTACAAATGGAGAAAGTTTAGCACTGTTGCTACTCTCCCTAGGCGTGGTCGTCCTGTAAAAATGACTGCAAGAGCACAGCGCAGAATGCTGCCTGAGGTAAAGAAGAATCCCAGAGTGTCAGCTAAAGACCTACAGAAATCTCTGGCACATGCTAACATTTTTGGTGACACATCTACAATAAGGAAAACATTAAACAAGAATGGAGTACATGGGAGGACACCACGGAGGAAGCCATTGCTGTCCAAAAAGAATATTGCAGCACGTTTGAAATTTGCAAAAGAGCACCTGGATGTTCCACAGCACTACTGGCAAAATATACTGTGGACAGATGAAACCAAGATTGAGTTGTTTGGGAAGAACACACAACACTATGTGTGGAGAAAAAAAGGCACAGCACACCAACATCAAAACCTCATCCCCAATGTAAAACATGGCGGAGGGAGCATCATGGTTTGGGGCTGCTTTGCTGCCTCAGGGCCTGGACGGATTGTTGTCATTGATGGGAAAATGAATTCCAGAGTTTATCAAGACATTTTGCAGGAAAAAGTACGACCATCTGTCCGCCAACTGAAGCTCCGCAGAG